CATGCTCTCTTACGTACACACTCTATCTAGTCAAACACACACCTATACTCTCACATCTTGACATGCATACAGTCATGAGCAGCAGTGATACAGGATCAGTTCACACAAATGAACAGTTTTACAGGACAACTGCAGATTGACAATAGTGGGAAAGAATGCAATGTTGTTGAGTTATTTTCATCTAATTTACATAATAATTGGCATATTTCTTTTTTGTATTTCAGGAATTCAAGTAATATGATTTTGATGTACAAACATGAACAAAAACGAATTACATTAAATTGTGGATAAACAGAAATATAGAGTGGAAAGGGTGTATGAGAAATTGAGTTTCATGAACTTGCGCCCTGCAGACCTGATCTGATTGAGTTCCACAAGCTGACGCGGTCCAATGCAACCCACAACCTCCAGCAAGCTTTCAACATCGCTGAGCATAACCTGGGCCTCACCAAACTCCTGGATCCTGAGGGTGAGAGTGAGCTGCTTATAGTGTAGAGGTGCTTTTCTTTCACTAACTGAGATCATAACAAAATCTGTGTTTCTCTCCCTCTGCTCTCTGTCTCAAACACCACTCTCAGATGTGAACACAGAGAACCCAGATGAAAAGTCCATCATCACCTATGTGGTCTCCTACTACCACTACTTCTCCAAGATGAAGGCTCTTATTGTGGAGGGCAAGAGGGTTGGCAAGGTAACAGAGTGGATATGTGCAGATACACACATAGACATCAGTTATGTTGCAAGGTAAACGTCCGTGAATTCTATCCTTTCTATCACAGAACTGGGAACAGCTAGCCTTTGTTTAAATGTTAACTGCAATGTGTTCTAGCTGTTTGTCATGGACTACTCGTATCTATCTGACGTAGTTTAACTGAATCTACTTGACGTCAAAAATAAAAATTGTTGTTCCACATGTGTCACAAGCAGGTCAAAACCACAGAGTTTTTCTTTTCTGGATGATACCAAACTCAAAATGACAGGACACTCCAAAATGTTATTAACCATTATGATTGTACTTTTAATGTATATCATTCAAAATGTATAACTCCAAATGTACATCTTTTAGCAAAAGAATAGATAAACTATAAGAAAGATGTCAAGCACATTCTTGTCTTAAACAAAAGTGAACACAAATATTTTTCTTGTTGTTTGTGAATCTATTTGTGAGATTCTGCGTTCACAGTCTCAATATTCGCATATGAGAGTAAAAGCTCCACAGACAAAAAAATGTCTATCCCTGGGAACTACTACATTAGCAACCTTTATGTGACATTTTATGAAAGTTGAAGGGCCTTCATTGACTGCTAGCTAAAACACAAGAAATAGAGAAATATAAAAACATTGTTATCCTGAGAAATGTCTCTAACTGTATCTCTCTCCTGCTCTTTCTCCTTTCATTTCTTAACCCTGGCTCTCTCAATCTCCTCCTAACCTGCTCCCTCGGTCTGACTCAGGTGCTAGACAGTTGTATTGAAGCAGAGAACATCGTGAACCGCTACGATGCCCTGGCCTCAGACCTGCTGGACTGGATAGAGAAGACCATCGCGGTCCTCAGCAACCAGAAGTTCGCCAACTCTCTGACCGGAGTCCAGCAGCAGCTGCAGGCCTTCACCACCTACTGTACCATCGAGAAGCCCATCAAGTACGTTGTGTGGATCTTTAAATGGCATCTTGAGATTTAATGCCATTTTTGTCTCATTTATCAAATGGCAAATGCAAAATGAGGTAGGCTTCATCGTGCATGTGTATGAATTCATGCGCACCCTATACTTAAAAGCACAATGTCTTTAAAACACTACTTCTGACCACATAGTTAAAAAAAGTGGAAAGTCAATCAATAATTGAATACTTGAAAAATGTATCCACTACAACATTTATGGATTTCCAGCTGAGTAAATGTGAGTATTTGCGGCATCTGTTGAGATAAGAAATATATATGAATATATAATAAGAGAAAGAAACAACAATATATAAAGCATGATTTTGAAAATGGTTTGAACGACAAGGGGCTGGAGGAATTATAATCCTGGTCGTCCATATATCCATCCCATTTTCATGAAATATATATCTCAGGAATGCCTGGGGAATATGAAAATAAAGTGAATACCTTAAGGTTTGGGATCATACAAAATGTTACTGCAGACATTGCCTTAAACTCTGGGAAAACACAAAGGGCACTGTCTTTGTTTTCTGACAGTAATAGACAAATACAATCGAATCATAAAAAAAGAAAATGAGATAAATGAATAATGCAAACAACTGTTACCTCTAGCCATAGATGACATACTTCTCAGAATTAATCAGTTTCCACGAAAAACATGTGCGCACTTTCTCTCTGCATACTGTACATCAAGGTCACAATGTCTTATTTTGATTGACCGGCTCCTTGTTTGTTCAGAAAATGTCACTTTATTGGATCAAAGAAGTAACGAATGGCCAGGTGTTGGTACAGTACCCCCCCCCAGAGGGATGAATGATGAGCTGAGAAATCGTCCTCTCCTCAGACCTCCGTTCACGCTGTTAGTGTCCTTCAGCTCTGAAACCTGAGCAACTCTGCGTCTGAGGTTTATTAATCCAAGCACGTCCTACACAGGAAGCGGCCTTTGAAAATTGATCTTTTTAAAGAAACTGACTAACTTGATTTGTCCGTTTCTCGCTCAGGTTTCAGGAGAAGGGGAATCTAGAAGTTCTTCTGTTCACCATCCAGAGCAAGCTCCGAGCCAACAACCAGAAACCCTATGTGCCTCATGACGGGAAGCTCATCTCAGAGATCAACAAGGTCAGACATCCCCACTGCTTAGTCCTTCTATTAAACACATTATATCACCTTTTGCTAAATCATTCAGTGGCGACACACAAGTGAGTTATTGATAAATGAAAATATTGACATGGCTCTTGAGAGAAAACCTGCACCTTCAACATGAACACTTTACTGTAAGAGCCAAGCACATATTCTTATTTGCGAAAAAAGTTATTTATGTTGGCATGACATTTACATATCATTTTAGTTATTACGTACTTGAACTACATTAGTTTACCAGTTTGGATCGAAACTTTGTGTAAGTGGCCTAGGACCTTTGCAAATTGGATAAACAGCCACTAAAGTTATTTTCCTGTTTAAACGGTAACATTTTCCATTACCCTATTATTGTTCTATGACATTACCACCATTAATGTTTTTTGTATCGTTTTGTATCCCAGGCCTGGGAGAGGCTGGAGAAGGCCGAACATGAGAGGGGCGTGGCTCTGCGTAAGGAGCTGATTCGTCAGGAGAAGCTGGAGCTGCTGGCTCAGTGCTTCGACCACAAAACCACCATGAGACAAGCCTGGCTCAACGAGAACCAGAGACTCGTGTCACAGGTATGTTCCTTACAGAGCTGAAATACTGCTATACAGTTCCATTTTCCTTTAGATGTCATATTTAAAGTTTTATGCATGCTATTTAATCTACTTTCATGGATGCAAAGTCCAATATTGCAGATGATAATACATTAAGATAAATATTGGATACATTTTAGACTTCATTAGTTTCAAAAAAATGAAAGGGCACAGCTTTAATGTGAGTTTAGGACCTGCACATAAAAGCATGATTCATCACAACTAGTCTATCCTGGACCAGTCTGCAACTTACACTTAAGTGTGTTTGTTGGTGTCTTATTCATGTATTTCATCACTCTGTTCCTTTGATTATTTCTTCTTTGTTTACAGTAGGAGACATCGTTTGTTTAGCAGAAGAATCTGGATTTTCCTGAGATTATAAATGTATCCAGAAAATGGTCATACATTACCAGTACATGCACTATAACAGTTAAAACACAAAGTGGGTCTGCAGGAGGATAGTATTCCATTCAGATGAATTGACAGGCTGTATAATAATAAAATAAACCTGTGTATGTAAAGTCCTATAATACTGTGTGCAACTCTCTTTTCTCACTCCTATCCTCTTTGTCCCCCCACTCTTAGCCACGGCTGCACCCTTACCTTTCCTTTTATTTCACATTGTTGTGCTCTCTGCCTACAGGACAATTTTGGCTATGACCTGCCAGCAGTGGAGGCGGCGATGAAGAAACACGAGGCCATCGAGGCGGACATAGCCTCGTATGAAGAGCGGATTGGCGTGGTGGTGGAGCTCGGAGCAGAGATGGAGGCAGAAGGATACTACGACATCCGGCGTATCCTGGCACGGAAGGAGAACATCCTGGGACAGTGGAGCCTGCTGAAGGAGCTGGTGGCTGGGAGGAGGACCCGGCTGGAGAAGAACCTAGCCATGCAGAAGACCTTTCAGGACATGGTCTACATGATCGACTGGATGGAGGACACACAGGTACCAGAGGATGTGTGAGAGAGATAAAGACACTTTAGACTGAACCAATTCAGTAGTTTAATAAAGACAGAGGAAAGGAAATAGTGGACAATGTTACAGAGGAGCTCCAAAGTCTGAATGATAAATATTAAAAAGGGGACATGAGAAAGACAGAAAGTGAAAGGAGAAGGACAAAGTGTTATACATATTAAGTACAAATAAAAAGTAGAAATGGAACTGCTAAACATACAAAGACATCCTTATGTATAATTACATTACATCTGTCATCTGTCTCCTGCTCTCTTCCAGGTCCAGCTGCTGTCCAAGGACTTTGGGAAGCATCTTCTGGAGGTGGACGACCTGCTGCAGAAACACAGCCTGCAGGAGGCCGACATCACAGTGCAGGCGGAGAGGGTGGAGACTCTGAACACCGCTGCACTCAAATTCACCACCATAGAGGGTATACTGCATGTGTACTGAACATTGTGCTGGTGTAATGTTTCATTTCATCTTCCTTAAACTTCATATGGTAACAGAAATCCAAACCAAGTTTCAAGGTTTTTAGTTTGCATTGCTGGTATTGAAGGCTGGCATCATAAAAATTGAGTTTCTAATTGATTTCATGAGAACCACGAAAAGGAATTATCTCACGCTTTGGAAAATTATCACTGAACACAGTGTTTAAATAAATCCCTTTACTGCAGGTTGCAGAACACTAATACAATTATTTTTAAAAAGCCATTTATCAGAATGTGATATAAAAGCCAACTCATGAATTTATAAGGACTACAGGGTGTAACATTAACAACAGCATCATCTCTACAATATTTACACTATACAACATATACTGATCCTAACACTAGGATGGGTCAAATGCAGAGAAACCTTTTTGTTACATAGTACCTGTACTGTGTAATGACAATAAAAGTGTATGATATGTATCTATATTATATATATGTCATCGGAAGGAGAGCCAACAATTTTTCCCAAACTTCCTCAGTGCTTTTTATTTTGTAACAGACCAACCTAATTAAAAAAGGAGTTAAAATGATCAAGTAATCATCTTATTTAGTCACGATAAGTGGAAATACAAAACAAATGGAAAACAGACATTCTGAACTTGATATCAGTAAGGTGATCTGCTCTGTGCATTCTGTGCATGTTCTTTATTCTTTTAAGGTAATACAGCTCAGAGTACACAACTCTAACAAATAAAGTGCTGTTTCAATTTTATTTATTTTTTCATATCGTCATTGACTTCATCTTTTTGTCTCCCAGGTTACCAACCATGTGACCCACAGGTGATCTGTAACCGTGTCAACCATGTGTCTTCCTGTCTGGAGGAGCTGAGACAGCTGGCAGCTAAAAGACGTGAAGAGCTGGAGGAGTCCAGACAGCTGTGGGACTTCTTTCAGGTAGGAGGGGTTAACAGGCATGAGACATATCTTTTATATACAAAATAGTTTGATAGAACAAACTCAGAAAACGTTTTTACAGGTTAAAAGACTGTTTAACTCATCAATGACATACTGTTTGTTCATAATACATTGTTTATTTGCAGCTTTAGACATTGAATTTTTATTGCCAAAACTTTGGCAGACAAATAAAGCCTTTGAATCTATGAAATATGATATGAATATCATAGGTGACTTTCTAGAAGGCTGTGAAAGACGGTAGAAATTCTAATCAGATACCAACAGAAATTAAAGCTGTTTGTTATAAACTCAGACATATTTTAAACACACTCTACACTATATTTTTTATTTTGGGCTTCGCATCATATTGTCTTTCTTGGCAGTCAATAATCATCTGTCTTTCCTAAAAAGTCTGCGTCTGACTGTGATAACAGAGAGATGATGAACGAGTTATTAATGTTACTGAACAAGCTTTGAGAAGGAACTATGAAAGTAATGAGTGTATAATGAGGATAGCGTAGACTCATTGGTGTCAGGGTGAGTGAAGCAGGCAGGACCCAAATGCAGATTTTACAGATAATACCTTTATTTAAAGGTTAACTTAGAACAAACAGAACACTTCCCCGTGAACACAGTCAAGACAAACAAGGAACTAACAATGACAGACAGAAAAAACAGAACTAAAATACACACAAGAATAATCAAAGAGACAGGTGAGGAGGGAGGGAGAAAACCCAGGGGCACAAGGTGAACACAATCAGGTAATCAGACAGGAGGGAACACAGACAGAAAGCAACAGGCAAGACAGGGGGTGAACACTTTTCAAAAATAAAACAGGAAACCAAAAACAGAACAAGACAAGACAAAACACAGACAGATCGTGACAATTGGATCCCACTGAATCACTCATTCTGTCACATCACTTTATGTGGCTGATCCCCTGCTGCCTCCCTGGACTGAGATCAGTGTTAGATGGACTTCAGGGATTTCTCAGAATGTATTCACTTCTTCCTTTATATAGGTTCTCTCTTATCTATTTTGCCCTTTCAATTATGTTATTTCTTTTAAATGTTTTTTTCTGTTTTCACTTATCAGTTGCATCACATCTGTTTGTCATCTCTTTGCATTTCATTTCATTAAATGTTTTGTTTATTGCATCTATACCTTTTCCTTAACTTTTTCTGCTTCAAAATGTTATTGTTAAATATAGTTTCTGTTTTAACATGCTTGTTTGTCTGTGTGTTGCGCTGCAGGAGCTGGAGGAGTCGGAGGCCTGGATCAGGGAGAAAAGCTCCATCCTGAGTGCTCAGGGCTACGGGAAGGACCTGAGCAGTGTGCTGAAGCTGCTGCAGAAACACAAGACGCTGGCTGGAGAGCTGCTGGCTCACCGCTCGCTGCTGCAGGTGTGTGTGTGAGCAAGTGTGATACCACTGTAACCTGCTGTTCTGAACTTCATGTACTTCAGTAAATGAATGCATTTATAAATGATGCTTCATCTCACCTACAAAAAAAACTAACCTAACCAACCATTATTTTGAAATAGTAAAAATACAGTTGTTATATCACCTGGCCTTTTGTAGAATATGTTTTGCAGTAGATGCTGTTACTTGGTCAGTGTTGAAGTTTACATTTTTGGATAGAAGCCTGAAATATGATGGTCTGCACAAGCTAAAGAGATTTGTTCTGTTTTACTACATAGAATGTCAGTAAATACCCCACTGGGGAATGGCTGATGTGCGATTGCTAACAAGTGTCTAAATTACGCCAAACATTAGCTGCTTTTAGCTTAGCAGTGCTGATGTGATGTGTGGGAAATTTGCTAATTTGAAGACAATGATAGAGAACATGCATACTATGTCAATTTGTCTATAGAAGCCAAATTAAGTTTGTCAATTTTTTTTAAATAATGTCCCACTGTGTGTTAACTGTTGGTTAGCACTCCACTTTACTACAACAGTGGTGTAATAATTTGGAGTAACACCATTATTCCTCCATCCTGACTCTTCTAGAACACCATGAAGCAAGGAAAGCAGATCCTGAGTGAGAAGAGCTTCGGCACGGCGGGGATCCAGGAGCGCATCATGGAGGTGAAGAGCGAATGGAAGAGTCTGGAGGACCAGGCCGCGCAGCGTCTGGGCCACCTGCAGGAGGCGCTCAACTTTTTCCAGTTCTCCACGGAGACAGACGACCTGGTGGCGTGGCTGCAGGACGCTTACCGCCTGGTGTCCAGCGAAGACTTTGGACACGACGAGTACTCCACCCAGTCGCTTCTGAAGAAACACAGAGGGGTCAGCGAGGCCGTGGACAAACACAGCATGCACGTGCTGGCACTGCGCAAACACATGGTGGCGCTGCCTCTGCGCTACCGCGATCAGGAGGTGAGGCAGGAAAATAAATGTTACTTTTTTGGTACTTTGATTGTGTCAAGTCTTGGTAGCAGAGCAGGTAGGACCCAAGTGCAGCAAACAAAGTAACTTCGGAGACACATCCTTTATTGTAGGTTGTCCAGGAATGAACAGCGCTAGGCAAGAAAATACAAGGCAAAAAAGAACCAAAACATCAAGAATCTGACAACAGCTGAAAGAAAACAAGAACTCAAATACATGTTAGTCTAAGGACAAGACACAGGTGGGGAGGTAAGAAAAACACAGGGGCACCAGGTGACCACAATCAAACAATCAAACAGGAGTGAAACACAGAGACAGGAAGTAAAAACAGAAATAACACATGTGAACAATTTTCTAAATAAAACAGGAAAACACAGGCAGATCGTGACAGATTGTCCTTCTACATCCTTTACTTTACCCCCCTGTGTCCTCTCTCGCTTACTCTCTGCAGGAGGTGCAGGTGCGCATGGGGGAGGTGGAGCAGCTGTACACGGAGGTGGTGGAGGTGGCGGTGCTCAGACAGCAGTGGCTCCACGACGCCCTCGCCGTCTACCGCATGTTCAGCGAAGTCAATGCCTGCGAGCTGTGGATCGATGAGAAGGAGCAGTGGTTGGAAAAGATGGAGATCCCAGAGAGGCTGGAGGACGTGGAGATGGTGGCTCACAGGTGAGGGAGAGGGAGAGGAAAAGGAAGGTTTGATTCCTGTGGCACCAATTGGAAGCTCAGCTGGGTGCCTGTTATTTTAACACACTGAATTTGTTCTTCGTATCCCACAATGCCGTATGTTGTAGGTTTGAAAGCCTGGACCAAGAGATGAACAGCCTGATGGGAAGGATTCTGGACGTTAACCAGATCGTTCAGCAGCTCCTGGATGGAGGTCATCCGTCCTCCACAGAGGTCAGAGGATGTCAGGACCACCTTAACTCCAGGTACTGAAACCAAACTCACCTCAACTACAACCATTACTACCATGTGTACTTCTACTGACAACATATCCAATAATCCTTAGCCAGTAGTTTTGCTTTTACCTTTCTTTTTTTCCTAAACTGCAAATGTCATGGCTACTTTTTGTAGATAAGAGTCCTACATGGTGATGTAAGTTTATTTATACAGCTGCTTTTAAAAATAGGGCAAATTTAAAATACACAATGCAGAGAAAGATTAAATCAAATGAAGTGGAATTCAATGGAAAATATATGATTATTGTCTCAATTACTTATTTCATTACTCATTTTATCATATCACAGCTACAACTATTTATTAGCAACATGATATGCATTAACAGTTAAATACTATTACACTGCCTGTGTCCTTTTACGCTCACTAACACAAGTGTTAAAGTGACACTTGCACAGCACGGCCATCAGATCACTGACAGAAATCTTTATTTCCCAGTGTTTGCTGCTGCCCAAGTGTTGATTAACAGGACACTGAAACACTTAAGTAAGGAGAGTACTCTGCAGGATCAGTAATGGAAAGTCTTCCAGAAATTAATTCATATTGTTAATATACTGTACTGGGATTGGGGAGGAGTAGGTGTCAGGAGAGAGAGAAAGAAAAGAGAGATGGTGAGGGAGAGATTTTGTGGGGTTGTGTAATATTCAGGGGAATTCATACTTATGAAATTATTTTTGTTGATCATTGTTTTCCTGTAATTGTCTTTTGACGTGCGCCTCGTGTCCTGTCACTTTCAGTCTTAAAAGAGGATCAACTCCTACCTATTTCTATCTTACTCTTTCGAGTATAAATGCAGTGCCCGCTATTTTAAATGTTTAAGAGCATGAATATCTTCCAAGTGTCTGTTGCTCCGGTCTCTCTCTGCATGGCCGACACGGTGGAGCCTGTGATAGGCCGGCTCTCAGTCCCTGACCACAGCTCCGTCTGGCAGCAGGCAGTCGGCCGGCTGTCGGTGAGTCTTGTGACCTCGGCAAAGCGCTTCTCTCAGGGCGACCATCTGTGCTGGTTGCCTCCGTCAAGACCAGGCCAAAACAAATACAAATATCAACGCCTCCTCTCATTCATATCTGCTTTATTTTTACAACCTTAACTACATGGGAGCTTTTCTGTTCCAATATCAATGATCAGAAACTGGCTTTAACAAATACTTCTAGCAGCAAGAAAAAGCACTGTCATGGTGGCTAAACTCAGAGCAACCCACCATTTATGATTTGGATAGAAGTTATATGAAATATATATTGTAGCTTGAATAAGTATACATTTTCACTCTTATTCCAACAAGACTCAGTCAGTTTCAACCCTCATCTTTTCATTTCCTACCTGATTAAATACAAAAATAATAGTTGAGAATGCTGGCACGTAAACTTTTATTACATAAATTACAATTAGCTTTTTATATATATTTTTTAAATTAAAAATGTTAACTGAAAACCACTGACATTTATTCTTATCCTTTATTTTATTTATAAATACATAAAACATACTGTAATCTTCTTTATTTATCACTGCTTCCCTGTATACATACTGTACATACACGTGTTATGTGACATATTTATTAAGCACTCTCACACACCCACCCTTCAACAGTCGGCATATATCAGAGCGCTTGTGCAGCTCTGAGGTCAGTGTTACCGAGCAGTTCTCCTGCCTGCTGAGCGCTCTGTCTGCCATTACCTCATTACAGTCAAACTGATCAGTGTGTGTGTGTGTTCATGTGAGCATGTTTGTGTTTCTTAGCTGAATGGGTGTGTAGTGAGACCTGCTGGTCTGGAGCCGAATCAGGAGAACATATTGTGTGAGGATATGGTGAGCAGACATGTCCTGGGCTGAAACCAGAGCAAACACAATCCACTGTCTCACATAACGGTTCATATCAGGTCTTCATAACATTGAGACTTTTACTAATAACTATCCACCATTGCCTGGGTTTGGGTTCAACCCCATCGGCTGTGATATTTTCAGTTGCTGTATTTGCAGCAGTTCTTTTGACTAAGAAAAATGTAGGGCTGGATTATAGCCCAGTAAGCCTACAATTTAGGATTTATTTTAATTTAGGAACCCTTTATTCGTCCTGCAGCAGGAACTTTCATGGCGTCAAGAAAAAGAGTAGACTTACCATATTAAGTAAAAAGTTAATACAAATATAAAATAACAAACACACAAATATGCACCATTATTACCATAATAATAATTACCATTATTTTAAAACGTTAGTGATAAAAGTATTGAAGAAGCAGGTAAACATTAAAAAAAATATAGCCTAAATTGTGTAAAAGTGTATTTTGCACATGAGCAGAAGAAAATAAATGTCGCTTTAATTGATCCGAAACTGGCTCCGTATATATGGCATACAAATGTTGTTCGGTGCAGCAGATCAGTCGTTTTTCTATCATACTGTTCACTGTGATATGTGTTAAATGCCACGATAAATCCACTCGGTTGCACGTCCCTCCATTACAGTATCACAGTCACTGTCAGCATGTCTCTCTCCTGTCTGTCTGTCACCAGGTGGAACAGCATTGTGGAGCTGGTGGAGCAGAAGAAGGATCAGCTGGGCTCCATGCTCCGCCTGCAGAACTACCTGCTGGAGTGTACCGAGATCAAGTCCCAGATCCAGGACAAGAGGAAAGCCATCGACGCCACCCAGTACATGGGCAGTGACCTGGGGGGGGTCATGGCTCTGCAGAGACGACTCTCCACCATGGAGGGAGCTCTGTCTGTCCTGGAGCCAAAACTACTGCATCTGCAGGTAGGGAATTACGGGAAAATGCATTATTATTCAAGACGTTATTTAAGATGTATTTTATTCCATTATTTTTTTAAATACAAAACAATGATTTACTTTAAAATAAAAATAAAAACTTTTCACTTTTTGTCCAAGTCTTATTAGACAAGATCTTTAACAACAAATCGGTAGCATTACAGTAATTCAAAATGTACAGAAGTGTGGAAGTTAAAGGTCCCATGTCATGCTTTTCTGGTTATTACCCGTACCCTTCTGTGTTATGAAGGTTTTTATGCATGTAAAGGGTCTGCAGAGTCAAAACCCTCAAAGTAAGTAAGTAAGTAAGTAAGTAAAGTTTATTTATATAGCACTTTTCACAGAAAGGATTCACAAAGTGCTTCACAGTGAGATCACGATAAAAAGGAGAATACATGGTGTAAAACAAGGAACACACAGCTACATATACACATCAAAACACAACATCAAAACATAAAACAAACTGTCAAAAAGAACCTTCACCTTTACTAAAAGACTGTCTAAACAACAAGGTTTTCAGTACACCCTATAGCGAGTAAAACTCTAACACAGAACATACCTCCCCAAAACGCCTCGTTGGAGATACGTCATTGTCCATTTGATTCTTCCGGGTACGCATGATGTCAACCGTACCCGGAACGAAATGGACCAATCCATGGAGCCGTTACGTTACGTCCGCGGAGCCGTTACGTTAAGCCCCCGCTGATTGGTCCAAATTGACCAATCCACGGACTTCCTCACACACACACACACACAGTGCAAGTAGCTCTGCTGATTTCTCCTCCCTGGCTGCAGGCTGATAACAGACAGTTGGGATTGCGGCGAAATTCTCTCTGCAGACCCATTCTCACAGCGTTTATCAACCTTTTTCTTACTCAATATCAAGCCACACTTATTGTTTTTACTTCGGCTGTGACTTTGTGTGTGCTCAGGGTGAGTTTGGCTGTGTTTCGCTGTGTATCGCTAAACAAGGAAACAACACTTCCACGGAGCTTAGCGCGATTCACAACGTCCCGACCAATCAGAGCACACTGTGCTCAAAGGGAGGGTGGGGGCTGGAGCTATTGGAGCTATAACGAGCCGTTAAAGGCAGAGAGTGAAATTCAGTGAATACACGTAGTTTACAGAGATGCTGTATGAGAAACCAAAGTGAGTTTGGAAAATTGCACAATATAAATCTATTCTAGTAGAC